GATATGTTTTTATTGAATTTTAGAGAGTGGAAGGGAGAGAGAAAGAGAGAAACATCGATCAATTGCCTTCTGCATGTGCCCCAACTGGGGTTCCGGGGATCGAACTCACAACATGGTTATGTTTCCTGACCAAGGCTCGAACCCGAAACCTCTTGGTGTATGGACAGTGCTCCAACCAACTGAGCCACCTGGCCAGGGCGTCATGATTAACTTCAAAAAACAAACAAGCTCTGCCCCAAAACAAAGCCCTGGCCCCTGTGGCCGAGCTGGGTGAGCATCGTCCTACGTGCTGAGAGGCTGCCATGCGACTTTGGCCAGGGCACGTGTCCAGGGTAGGGTTCCGTTCCCGGTTGCTGTGAGGGAGGGAGGCAGCCATTCCACATCGATCTTTCTTTCTCCTTTTATTTCTCTAAGAAAATCAATTAAAACATATTTTAAAAAACAAACAAACACAATATCCTTTTGTAATCTACTTGACGTTATACTAGATGTGTAGATTCATATGGGGAGAGGATATCTTACGTTATTTTTTAACCATGAGAGAGTATGGAGCATCTTTCATTACAACCACAGTCTCTTGTTCTTCAGGAAAGTTTTATAGGCTGATTTTTATTTCTTTGCACTGTATGGCTGTTGTTGTTGTTGTTTTGAATTTTAGGGACACTGTCTTGATGATTTGTTGGATTTGTTTGTTTCTGTTTCATGTTTCTGATTTAATGGGTTTTAGGCTGAAGAAGACATCCTGTGATTTTTACATACCATCTTTCTAAAACTCCATAATTACATTGTTCTTAAAACAGAAATAGGAACTTACTTATGTTCTTTTATTTGACCTTGATATCCAAATTAAAATATGGTGGTTCTCTACATTTAATTTTTTAGAACTCTTTAATAATTAGATTTACCAGAAGTGAAAAAAAAAGTTTATTTTTTGTTTATTACACTTTACATCTTTTGTTGTTGTTAATGTTTACCTGAGGATATTTTTCCATTGATTTTTTTTTTTTTTTTTTGAGAGAATGGAAGGGAGGGAGGTAGAGAGAGAGAGAAACATTGACGTGAGAGAGACACATTGATTGGCTGACTCGGATCAAACCTGCACACCAGGTATGTGCCCTTAATGGAATCAAATCTGCGACCTTTTGGTCCAAAGGCCAGTGCTCTCTAATCACTGAGCAACCGGCCAGGGCATATTACACTTGACTCTGTTTCACTTGTCCACGTAGGAACTATTTACTGAACAACTGTTACTGCCATCACTGGGGTAGTTGGTGAACGGGACACACAAGAACAGAGCTCTCATTTTCATGGGGAGGGTAGAGCGGGAGGTTGCTCTGCCACGGGACGGGGGCCCGCTGTACGCGTGCTGGTCAGGGGCGGCTCTAGGGCGGGAGGTTGCTCTGCCACGGGACGGGGGCCCGCTGTACGCGTGCTGGTCAGGGAAGGCCCTTCCAGGAAGAAACATGTGAGTGGAAACGAAGGACGAGTTGGAGAAACTTACATAAAGAGCTGTGAGCGAGGGGAGGAGTAGACTGGAAACGCCCTGACTGACGGAAGACCTCGACATGTTTCAGTAATGGCCAGACACCGGTGTGGTCCAGGTGGAGAACAGCGCATTCTGATTTTGGAGAGGTAGGTCATGTAGGTCTGTTTTCTGTGCTGCAGGAAACCTGAGTGGAAATATAGCAGGCATACATTTTCTCAGCCACAAGTTTGTGCAAAGATGTAGTTCATTTCTTTACAAGTTCCTTAGCTCTGGAACTTCTTATCTACTGGGTAGTAGAAAACAATCTTGCCAGTTTAAGATAAAGTCAGTAACTTCTGGTTTAACTTAATTAATTCAGACCCTTGGGTAAAATTTTAGTTTTTCCAGATAGGTCTCCCCCACACCTTTTTTTTTTTTCCTGGCATGGAGAAGCCTTTTAATTTCTCCTGGCTTTGAGAAGGGGGCGTTTCATCACTGCACCGCCCTCTGTCATTGGCCATTGCTAAGGTCACCTTGACGGGTGGTCTCGAATAGCACTGTCTGCTCTGCTCAGCTGAGGCTGGTGTCTGCTCCCGCCATGGCCTCTGGTCAGCAGGTCTGTGCCTGCTGGGCTCTCAGTAAGCATGGACTTGGCCCAGTGGCCCGGAGCAAACTCCGGAATGACTCTTCCATCCTGCTGGCAGGCTTGGGTCCTGAGGCAGCTTTCCCGGAACATGGTCTGGGCGTGCACTGGCCATCGCTGCCCTGCACCTTGATGTTAGGGACACGGTTCTGCCTGAAGGCTTGCGGTTTCCTGGGCCACATCTCTTATTCTGGGTTCTTCCCCACAGATATGCCGTAGGTTTTCTCACCCCAAGACAATACCAATGGGACAGGTGGTAAGAATTCTGAACTTAGAGCCAAGCTGTCTTCTCACTGGTCTTTCTCTCCACATTCCTCCCCCAGGTTTGTATGTCCTTTTCATTGTTATCGGAGAATTGCACTTAACATTGTCACCTGCCACTTTCTCTGTGCTTGCAGCTCAGCAGTGTGAAACCTTTTCCCTCTCCGGCACACATGAGCTAATCACTGAAGGTCTGTGGCACACCGAAAAGTAGGTACAGTTGCGATTCGTTCCCACCGGGCAGCTATTGTGTTGGCTATTTCCCTTTTCTATTTGACAGTCTAAAGGAAAAGAGGTCAGTGCCACTAACGAAATAGTCAGGTATCACGTTTTAAAAATTCTTGCAGTACACTGGGTGAAAATCGTGGCTGTAGTTTTTTTGCTTTGTGTTATCAGAGATGGGGGTGGGGGTGGGGGGGTTTGCAAGGGGGGTTTCTTGGTGAGATGCCCAAGGTAAAGAGAGCACGGAGCCGATATCAGGAGGGATCCACAAAAGGCGGCAGCACCTTCATTCCCAGCAGAAGCAGCCCCTTTATTCAGTTCTTCTAACGGCTTTTACAGACTCCAGACCTGTGCACCGGGATCATCTACACGGGGCGCTGCATGGCGCATGCGTCCTACGCTTTTGCTGTGTCATGCTTATGTGAGAAAACAGGGTCTGCGCCTGCGCAGCCTGCTCCAGGTCCTGAACCATGGCCTCTGTCAACAACAGGCCAAGTTCCCAGGCCCCAACACTCCACCCCCAGAGGCTGGGGTGTCGGGACTTGACCTATAAAGCATTTCCCTGTGCCCAGGACAGGGTGCAGCACGTAACTAAGGAGCCTCCATCAGGCCTGCAGGGGTGTGTGCCCTGACACGTGGTGGATCAGGCCCGTCCCCACAGGTCCTGCTGCATATCCTTCCCCACGGGGTCGGTGTCCTATCAGCCATTTCCAGGCTGCCCAGCGAGGCAGCCGTAGAGTTGGTCTCTGTGCGCCGCCCAGCTATCGGTGCACACGGCCGACTCTCATCAGCACTGCCCACAGAGCTCTCAGGCCGGCCCACTGGCTAGAACATCCAGCTCCGGTATTGTGCCAGAAGGTATGCGTACGTTGCAGGGCCCCCGCAGCCCAATTCAGCATTGGCCTCCGCAGAACCATCGGTGCACCAAGCACCTGCCGGAGGGGAGGCTTCCCTCCGCAAAGGGGCGGGGCTTTCCTCAACCCCCCGCAGAGGGCTCCTCCCGTCCTGCCCTACACTGCGTGGTCGTGCGTGGTCGTGCGTGGTCGAGTAGCCCCAGACCGTAACCAACCCTCTACCGGGTGCGTGGTTTGCACTGTGGCAGGACAATGACCAGTGATACTTTCACCGGCCAACAAGGCAGCGCACATCGCCGCCCACTGCTTCTCAATAAGGGAGTGACGACTCCCAGCTCCCTTCAAGGACCAGAACCTGGTAGGACTCTTCCAAGCCCCATGTTTCTGCCAGAGACCCCAGCCAAACCCCGAGTCTTCCACCTGCAAGTCAGGAGGAACTGCAAAGCCAGATCTAGGACTCGCAGCTTCTGCGCCTGGGCTTCCCCCACTTCGTGGCCAGAAACGCTTGCTCCACCACAGGAGACCAGTCCCAGGCTGCCCCCTTTCGGGCCATGCGGTGGAAGGGCTTCATCAGCGTGGCTGACTGGGGTATAGAGGTTCCCCAGAACCCTAGCAGTCCCAAGTATGTCTGCAACTGTTTTCACTGTTTCTGGTCGGGGATAGGCCTGTATCTTATCTATAATTGCTTCTGGCTTGACCTTCGTCTTACCCGACCAGACAACACCCAAGTGTCCTTGCCACGGCCCACCTCAGCCCACCAGGGCGTCTCCAGGGCTGCGTGCTCTGGCTTACAGCTCTGCAAGGGATCAGAAGTCATTACAGTCGTCCCTCCCACTTTGCACTTCGACTTTCGCGCCTTTACTGTACTGCAGTCTTTTCAAGTATAGTATTTGGAAAAACCGCGATAGAGTGAAGCCGGGAAAGGCGAAGTGCGAAGTGAGGAGGGATGGCTGTGTATGCTAAATGGAAAGAGTCAGTAGCAAGGGAAAGATTGAAGGCATAGGAAAAAGATTGAGAATCGTCCTGAAGAGCAGAAGGGAAGAAGTGAAGATGCTGAGCTTGAGTAGGACTAGGGATGTAGTTTCCACTGAAGTGGGGATAACAGAGAGGATGGTGCAGGTGGGAAAGTGGGTGGTAGGTAAGGAATTTGGGGCATCAACACACTTGATGTAGTCGGGGGATAATGTCATCAGCTCCGATCATAGGGGGGAAGATGGTGACTGTCTCAAGGTCTGGGTGGTTCTTACTAAAATGTAGCATGGGCTGGGCCAGTGTGGCTCAGTGATTGAGTGTCAACCCTGTACCAAGAGGTTGCCTGTTCGATTCCCGTCAGGGCACATGCTGAAGTTGTGGGCCCGATCCCCAGTGGGGGCATGCAGGAGGCAGCCAGTCCATGTTCTCTCTCCCTCTCACTCTCTCTCTCTCTAAAATCAGTAAAGAAAAAAAGTTTTAAATGTAGCATGATATTTTGCAGCCATTGTTGTAAATAAGATGGAGCTTGACAGGAACCTAACTTGATAAATGTAGCCAACTGCAAAGAAGGTGTCAACATGCAGTTGACCAAATAATGTATCATAAGCAATGGCTAAGCCTCCCTTTGGGGGACAGAGCTTTTTATGTGAACCCCCTGTCTCTACTTGCTGCAAGTAAATGAAACTACCTAATGACAACCACGTCTGGCTCTTGAACAGAACATCTCCAGTGGTGAACCCCGGGAGTTCGGTAACAATTGTAGGGGAGAGCTTGAGGAAAAAGGAAGAATTTGAGGCCATTGAGGGAAATAAAAAGACTAACTGAATTGGATTATCTAGAAGAATTTTAGCAACACATTTTCCCTGATTCTGGTACATATAGTTCTGTGACGATTCCCCCGTCGGGCCACCAGCCTGAGTGTCTAAGCAGACAAGTGGAGCAGTTGGGCTGATCTTGGGCTTCGCTGGCCATTGTGACAGGAGGTAAGGAGACGAGAGATTCCAGCAGTGAGTGTGGGAGGTGGTGGGCATTGAGTCTAGGCGAACAGGGAACGAATGAAACCAGAGAGGAGCTGCTGGAATATGAAGTGGTCAAGACAGATGTTGACATTTAAGATGAAAAGGAGGAACGGTGGCCCGTTGTGCCTGGATGCCAGGTCCGGCTTCTGACGTGGAGAGGAAGTGACGGTGTTGGAGCTGAGATGAGGGGGCTGTAGAGCGGGCGTGTCCAGGAGTCCTACGCAGGAGGTGAGTGGCTGAGAGTGGGAGCAGAGCGAGGGGTGGAGAGATTGTGAACCAGGTTCCAAAGTCTCTACTGAATGTGGGAGTGTGACCAAGAGGTCAGCAGATGACAGTAATGAGAGAGAGGTGACAGCAGATGACATAAACCTCAAAAGAGGTACTTTTATTTGAGGGTAAAGAACTAAGGGTGAACAAGGAATGAATGACTTCTGTGCTTTCATCTGTGAAGTGAGAGAAAGGATACTGCTGGAGTGTTACTTCAATTGGTTCAGAGTTTAGGGTACTTGTTTACTGTGGAACAGTGTAAAGGGTTAACAGGAAGTGTAGCTATTGAAGGATGTGTGATTTTCGAGGAGAAATTTGATTGGAGTGCAGCAGGAAAGGAATTAATTGGAGAGGCTTAATTATCCGAGGGGCTTACATTTTTTATGGTTGTGGTGATGATGAAGAACATGGTGGTCTTAGGTGATGTCAGAATTTTTTTTTTTATCCTCACCCGAGGACATTTTTGCATTTATCTTCAGATAGAGCGGGAGGGAGAGAGGGGGGAAGAGAGAGAGAGAGAAATATCAATGTGAGAGAGACACATCGAGTGGTTGCCACCTACACAACCCCAACCAGGGCCGGGGACAAACTGCAACCGAGGTACGTGCCCTTAGCGGGAACCGAACCCGGGACTCTCCAGTCTGCGGGCTGACGCTCTAACCGCTGAGCCAAACTGGCCAGGGCTGATTTCAGAATTTCTATTGATTTGTGGGAAAATAGGTTGATACTGACAGACTGAGATTCTGGCTTCTGCACGCAGCTGGGCGACTCCGTTGTGCTCAGGTTTGCTCAGCAGTGTTGAGCGATCTGGGACCCTTGGTCAGCTTGCCGTGAGGACCCTAGGATGGAGCTCTTGACTTCTTTGGCAAGCCCTGGCCCTGGCCCTGGCCCTGGCCCTGGCGAGGAGGGAGGCAGGGGTGGCAGTGACTGGTGAAAGGGTAGAAGCACTTCTGAAAAGCCTGACACATACTGCTCAGAAGAAACTCTAAATGGAAGGGTAGCGTGATTGACACTTTCAGTAATGATTGTAAGTTTCACAAATGGGCACAATAAGCACTGAAGGAAGAAAACACCATCATTTGAATATTGATTTCAAATCTGTACAGTGGAGGGGGTGAGACGGAGAGGGATGGCCATGTCTGGATGATGGAAAACGTCCTGATGCAGTTGAATCCAGGCTGGAGGATGGCCGACCAGGCTGCACACAGGCTCTCAGGCGCTTGAATGACTGCTCTGATCAGGCAGACGGTCACTTAGCTACGGAGGGCTGCAAGGCCATCTCCTTTTCCCTCCGTGCACATTCTCCAGGCACTCAGTCCACTTGCTGGAGCCTGTGCGGAGATATTGCTGGTTTACTGTGAGGGATACAGGCCAGGAGCAACCATGTGGAGGAGAGGCGGGGGTGGGGTAGGGGCGGCTGGAGCCTCCGTGCCCTCTGGACATGCCAGCCTTTCGTACCTCCATGTTCACAGTCGGGAAGCACTAGCCTTGTTTTTTTTAAAAAACATTTTATTTCTCAAAAGCAGTCTTCTTGAGGGATGGTCTGTGAAAAAGTGGGTTCCATCTATACGTTTGGAAACGGCATCTCTGCCCACCGCGGTGATTCACTATAAACACTGACTCTCACCAGCTTATAAGGCTCAGGGAAATGCTGTTAGCACTCACCGTTTAGCATTATTGAGCACTTCCTATTTTAAGGCTCTGTTCTAACAACCCCACGTATATTAGTCTGTCTAATCTTTATAGGAACTCTGTCTTCTAAGTTGTCCGGGTGGTGAGACAATGAGCGACAGTGACATGGCTGGGCCAGTAGGTGGAAGGGCCAGGGTCCAGACCCCGGTGACAGGCCGAGGGCTTTCTGCAGCATACTGTACTGTGTGTGACCAGTCATGGAGCTGGTTGTGTGTTAAGCCTACCATTTCTCAAGCTTGTTTGGCTCAGGAAACACATTATGTCTGGGAGAGGCTGCTTTGAGCCAGCCTACACTGGAGACCTATTGTCTTTTAAACACCACCATTTAGAATATAACTCAGTTTTAATTTTTTACCTTGCTTTTCTGTTGATAACATTGAATGTTTATTTATTTGTTACCTTTTTTCTACTTGAAAGCCTAATATGTTGACCTCAAGCCATTTCATGTTGTCCTTCATAATGACCTCAGGAGTTTTTGCAAGATAAGTACTCTGTAGGACTTTTGCAGTACTAAACCCATTTATAATCCATACCTCTATTTCACTGTGTCTTCTCTGCTCTCAAGTATATTATTATAATTTTTAAAAAATGTTACTTTACAACTTAAGAAACTGACAACTGTGGAACATTATAATACTTGACATCTGAGTTTGAACCTTGGCGTGGCCTCTCTATTTGGTATGTGACCTTAGAAAAATGTTACTTCCTTTCTCAAAACTTCCGTTTCTTTTAAATGACAAGGTTAATATCTTGCAAGGTGGCTATAAGAATTAGTGGGAAAATTCAGGTGGTGTCTGGCACATAAAAGGCTCTCAATAAATGTTAATTACCCTCTTTATTCCCCTAGGGAGGTTGTCTCAATTCTGTACTGTGAATGAATTATGAAAATAGTTTTAAGAAAGATCTATTTTAAATTTGAACTATCTCAGTGTTATGCTGCCATCAGCCACACTGCTGACAAAGTGATATTGTCCTCATACAGGTTGTATGGGAGTTCAAACCAGTTTCCTTCCGGCTTTTCAACTGACATAATAGCAAAACCTGACTGGGCAAACATAAGCCTATTTATTAGATCACTTATTATTAATGTTAAACTAGCTTTGGTGCTGACTTCTCCTGTTCTTTTTGAAATTTCACTGTTGTCATTTAAAATCTGACAGACCTTCCAAGCACCATAGAATGCTTAGTGGTTTAACTCACTCCCCGGAACAGGTGGGGAACACTCTCCAGAGCGTCCTCTCCACCCAGCAGTGTGCTCCAGAGCACGCGGGTCGGCAGGATGGCGGGAGCTGCATGGCCCCGGCAGGCAGCTGTGGGTTTGCGCACAGTACTCGGCATATATGACCAAGCAGGCATAATCATTGAAACGAAGTCTGGGGAGGTTTCAGTTTCGCAGTTCCTTACTCCCTGAAGCAAAAAGAAAATGGGTTTGGTTTGAGCTGTATGAGGGGAATCTCTAATATTGGATTCTAAGTCTCTCTGATAGCCTTGATACATAGTAAACACTTAGTACGTATTTGTTGATGGACTGAATTTGATTTCGAATCTTAAGTTTGTGCCTTTAACCTTCTTGAACCTTCTGAGCTTCAGTCACCTCTTATATAGAAAAGGAGGTACCAGTATTTACTTCTCAGGATTGTAACAATGAAGTTTATGCATTTAAACTAGCCAGCACAGCCTGGCCAGTGTGGTTCAGTGGTTGAACATCGACCCCTGCACCAAGAGTTTGCTGTTTCGATTCCTGGTCAGGGTACATGCCCAGGTTGTGGGCCCAATCCCCAGTGTGGGGGCATGCAGAAGGCGGCCAATCAATGTTCTTTCTCATCGATGTTTCTGTCTCTCCTTCTCTCTAAAAATCAATAGAGAAAAAAATACAAAAAAATAAATAAATAAAGTAGCCAGCACGGCCCTGACTTGTCACACAGTTGGTTAGAGCATGTCCCATCTGTCCCATCTGTCCTGTCTCATCCATTGTTCCCCTCACCCCCAGTAAGCCAAGGTCTTGGGTTCTGTCCCCAGTCAGGGCACATGCAAGAAGCAACCAATAAATGCATGAACAAGTACAAGTGGAACAACAAATTGCTGTTTCTCTCTTCTCTCAAATCAATAAGTAAACATTTTTAAAATGAAATCAAATAGCCAGCGCTGCATGTGGCACACGCAGCACACAGCGCATGGGCACACAGTGGGCACACAGAGCATGGCCTGCTTCACCGACACCTCCCTTCATTCCTCAGTGCTGGTCTTTTCTAGTACTTTCTCCTTTCTCATTCCGTAAACATAAGAATCTGTGTTCAAGAGAGATTACAAGTGTTTGACGATTAAACTGAAAATATGTTCTTTTGTAACCCACATTTGGAATATTTTAGCAAAAATAATTGTATATCTGACAGACCTTGGTTTGAATCCTGGGATTGAAGTATACTAATGTTATGACCTTAGGCAAGTTATTAGCCTGTGTAGAGTACCAGGAACCTGAGATGAGTACTAATGTGTAAAGCGTCTAGTTCATTGTTTGGTTTGTGTGGGCCCAAAATAGTTGTTACTGTTTTAAGTTGAAACTGTTATTTAATCTAATAATTTACATGGTTCAGATATAGCGTAGCCTACTCACAGAAACCCCAGTAAGAGCAGTCAGGAAGACCGTGAATGAACATTGGGCATATTCTGTAGGTGGCTGAATTTGACCTTGCTTAGAATCAGGGTCAGCAGAAGTTGTGTTTTCTACTATATTTGAAGCAAAATAAATGAATGGGCTATTATTGCACTTGGCATGACTTTTTAATTTTATATTAATTGGGTGTTTTATTTCCCTACTGAATATCAAAATTAAAAAAAAAATGAATGTCAGATTCATGAGTGCTAAAGCCACATAGACTTTGCTATCTAAAGTTCTTAAAAATCTTTTGCTGATCTTGTTTATTAGAAATAAGTATGCTTCTCTCCTGTACTAAAATTCAAGAAATGATATTGGTAAACCAAATTTAATATTCTGCTCACTTTAAATCTCCCTGAGTTATTTAGATATTATATAAAATTGGTTCCTACCCTGGCAGACTACACATTGCAAAGCTGGTGCTAAGAGATTTGTGAGAATACCTAGCAAATAGAAGTCTTCAGAATGGCATTGGGCATTACAGAAAAGCTTAATTTTTTAAATGTTTATAATGACCTTATCAAATCAGAAATAATGTTTTTAAAGGGGTACCAAAATACTCAGAATTTATCATGCAAGTTAACTTTCTCTGATGTTAACATCTATTTTTTGTTATGTAGGGTTTTGTTTATTAACTAAAATATAATTCACATAACCTAAAAGTTTCTGTGTTGTATAGTATATTCACAATGTTGTGCAACTATCACCATTATGTAGTGCCAGGACATTTCATCACCCACCAGAGGAAACCTCATCTCCATTGAGTACTTACTTCCCATTTTCCTTTCCCCAGCCCTTGGAAGCCACACTCTGCTTGTTTCTCTAAGGTTTTGCCTATTCTGATATTCAATATATTGTTTTATGTGTTTGGTTTCTTTCACTTAGCATGTTTTGTCTAAGTTTATGTTGTGATGTATATAAGTGCTTCATTTTTTATGGCTGAATAATATTTCATTGTAAGGATATACCACATTTTGTGTATCCATTCATCAGTTGATGGACGTTTGGGTTGTTTCCACTTTTTTTGCTGTTATGAATGATGCTACTTTGAACATCTGTGTATAGGTTTTTGTGTGGACATAGGTTTTCAGTTCTCCTCGATAGATACCTGGGATTGAGTTCCTGGGTCATATGGTAACTTTTTGAGGAACTGCCAGATGGTTTTGTCAGAGCAGCTGCATCATGTTGTATAGTTTTTAATGCTAATATACTTGGAAGAAATGAGAGAAAAGTTGATTAAAATGTTAACCTAAGAATATTAGTACTCATGACAGCCCTTTTGACAAGCCAGATTGAATCTCAGTTTACTTCATTTGCTTTTCAGAATCAACACATGAAAATATAAACCTACACCATAGACTCCGTGTCCAATCTTTGTGCCCTTATCCCCGCGCCGCCCGCTCCTGAGTTCGGATGTGCTTGTGGTGGATGCTGCACCTAAGGCGGGCTCTGAGGCTGGGCCCTGCTGGGCTTCTCCGTGGGAGTTCCCGTTTTACCGCAGAGCCCCCGAGCAGGGAAGTGGAGCACTGATCTGTCTGCGGGAAACATTTCTGAATCAAAACTCACAATAGGTTTAATTAATCATGATTAAACTTTTTTGGATGTAAAACTAATTTTCAAAAATATCACATAAAGACGGACCTCACTAAAAGCCTTGTGTGAAAGGTGCTCTGTCAGTGTAGCGGGTGGGCTCGAGGTGCTTTGTCTCCTCTGCTGCCGACACCGCCATGGGCTCCGCTGCTCCCAGGCCGCCGCTCGGCCTCCTGTGCTGTCCCCTTCATGTTCACGCAGCCTTGCTCCGTGACGTCACGTGAAATCATAGGAATTGGTTTCACTGGGGTGTAGAATTTTAAATCAGAAAGTATGTAAGAGAAATGCTGTTTGCGGAGTGATTTCAGTGCTATATTGGAGCCTGCCTAAGTGCTTCTCACTCTTTCCTCATTTAAGGTGACAGTCCATGTGAAGCCGATGTTCGGAAGAAGAAATGGGACTGTCAGTCATCCCTTAAAGCCCGCAGTGAGCTCTGGCTCTCTAGGATAAAGTCATCTGTATTTTGTAAGGATATTGTAGAGAGATTCAGTTGTTTTGAGTAATGAAAAATTAAAAGGAGTTCTTTTTTTTTTTTTTTTTAGGAGAGTTTCAGGTTTCAAAATATAAAAGTCAGGGCAGGAGGATGTCAAGGGGTGGAGGAGAAGGAGGGACATCTGTAATACTTTCAGCAATAAAGATACATAAAAAATATGGAAGTATCATTGTGGATATTGAATATGTTGTTTACTGAATTCTATAATTTTCAGTTATTTTTGCAATTATTTTGGTTCCTTACTATTTATGCTGTATTGGGTACTTTTACCTACTGCACTTTTGGAATGTGTGAGGATAGTTGCATCTGAGCTAGAGAAATACTGGCTTTTAATCAGGATTTTTGTCTGAATCTTGATTAAAAAAATTTGGGGGGGGTCATAGGATTACATTTGCAGTTAATAGCCTCTTATACTAACAAGTATTACAGAAACTGCAAATAAAAACATCTACCTCAAAAAGTTAGAACTATCATTTAATCTAGCAATTGGGTATATATCTTAAGTAAATGAAATTTCTATCCAAAAGAGATTATCTGCACCCCCATGTTCATTGCAGCATTGTTTACAATAACCAAGAAATAGAAACAACCAGGTGTTCACTGATGGATGAATAGATAATGAAAATGTGACACACGCACACACACACACACACAGGAATATTATTCTGCCATAAAAAAGGGAATCCTACTATTTAAAAAGGGAACCCTACCGTTTGTGACAGCATGGGAAATAAGTCAGACCGAGAAAGACAAATACTGTATGACCCCACAAAAGTGAAGGCATAGAAACAGAACGAACAACAGACTGGTGGTGGCCAGAGGCAGGAGGTAGCGCTTGGGGGAAATGGGTGAAGGTGGTCAAAAGGTACAAACTTGAGTCGTGAAATAATAAGTCCTGGGGATATTATGTGCAGTATGGTAATTATAGTTTATAATACTGTATATTTGAAAAGTGGCGAGAGTAGATTTAAAAAATTATATAAAAGAAGTTCTCATCACAAGAAAAAAACACTATAACTACGTGAGGTAATGGGTGTTAACTAAATTTAATGTGATAACCATTTTGTAATATATACATATGTCAAATAATTATATTGTACAACTTAGACCAACAGTGTTATATGTCAATTATATCTCAATAAAACTGGGGGAAATGTATTCCCAGATAAAATATTATGGCTGCTATTTTATTTTAACGTATTGGTAAAGGGAAAGAAGCCAGGAAAATTTTAGAAGTCAAGTTTTATATTGCAAAAATCTAGCTTAGCGATTTATACACACTTAGAAACAGCAGGGTGGTCTGCGGTCAGAACGCGGTCTCTGGGAAGAGTGACTTATGCAGATGGTGTGGAATCGCCCACTCTTTATTGCTCTTGGGGTCCAAACTCTGGTCTTGTTGCCCGAGTTCCTCCAAGTGTTCACTTATTGGGACATTCTAGTGCATTTCTCCATAGAAATAGTGCTCTTAATTCTAGGTATACGTTTATTAAATACATCTTTTAAGTTCTAGATAGAAGGCAGGTACTCTGTTATATACTGTTTATGTTTACAAAGGTACAAAGATGAAAAAACAAAGTATGACACATTCCTTAATCTCAGATAGCTATTATTTTGTTGGGTGAGAGAGCACAAAAGAAGTTACCAAATATGATTACATTATTGCATTATTTCTCCGTGGTTCGTAGGTACTGATGGGTTAAGCTGACCTTTGAATGCTGCCCAGGATCTCAACTTCATTTTATAATTTTGTCTAAAGAGAAACATCTTCCTCAAGTTTTTGTTTTTTTCCCCCAATCCTCACTGAGGATACTTTTTTCCATTTATCTTCAGATAGAGTGGGAGAGAGGGAGGGAGGGAAAGAGAGAAAGAGAGAGGAACAAACATCGATGTGAGAGGGACACAGAGACTGGGACCCCGACCAGGGCCGGGGACGAACCTCAACCGAGGTACCTTGACCAGAATCAAACTTGAGACTCTGGTCCGAGAGCCAATGCTCTAGCTGCTGAGCCAAACCAGCCAGGGCATATGTTCCTCAGGTTTTATGATAAAGTATGATTGGACTTGGAGAACACAATCTGTGAATATTTTGAAATGGAGAAATGCTTGCCTCAGCATTACTCAATGAATGTATAGTTGGTACAGAGTTTTCAGGTCTAATTGCAGACTTGCCTAGTGTGTTGATTGATCAGAATTAAGTAAAAAGTGTAGGAAAACGGAGCGTGGGCTAATTAGTTTTTCAGGTATGGTCAATAATTCAGTGTGATAAACATCTTTATAAACAACTTTCAGTAATTGTTATTTCTGTTTCTGATGGATAATCAGTTTCTCTTCCTACCTGCCTTTTAAAAATCTTTATTGTTGTATTACAGATGTTCCCCCATTTTCCCCCATTGATCCCCTCCTCCCTGCTCCCACCCTGCGTCCTGCCTTCCCCACTCTATTGTCTGTGTCCACTGCACATAAGTTCTTTGGTTTATCTCTCCCCACCCCCTTCCCTTTGAGGTTTGTCAGTATATTTCCTACTTCCCATGTCTCTGGGTCTATTTTGATTGTCAGCTTATTCTGTTCATTATATTCCACAAATAAGTGAGATCGTGTGGTACTTGTCTTTCTCTGACTGGCTTATTTTGCTTAACATAATACTCTCCAGGTCCCTCCATGTCGTCTCAGAGGGTAAGAGATCTTTCTTTCTTACAGCTGCATAGTACTCCACTGAGTATATGTACCACAGCTTTTTTTCTTTTGAATCCTCACTTGAGGATATTTTTCCATTTATCCTCAGAGTGGAGGAGAGACAGAGAGACAGAGACATTGATGCAAGAGAGACACATCGATTGGCTGCCTCCCACACAACCCCGACAAGGGTCAGGACCAAACCACAACTGAGGCACGTGCCCTTGACAGGAATCAAGCCGGAGACTCCTTGGTCCAAGGGCCGATGCTCTAACTGCTGAGCCAAACCAGCCAGGGCACCACAACTTTTTTATCCACTCATCTACTGATGGACACTTGGGCTGTTTCCAGATCTTAACAATTGTAAATAGTGCTGCTGTGCACATGGGGGTACATATATTCTTTCTGGTTGGTGTTTCAGGCTTCTTAGGGTACATTCCTAGAAGTGGGATCACTGGGTCAAATGGCAGTTTCATTTTTAATTCTTTGAGAAAACACCATATTGTTTCCCATAGTGGCTGCACCAGTCTGCATTCCCACCAGCAGTGTACTAGAGTCCCCTTTTCTCCACACCCTCACCAACACTTGTTGTTTGATGATTTGTTGATGGCGGCCATTCTGACAGGTATGAGGTGATACCTTATAGCCATTTTAATTTGCGTCTCTCTGATGATTAGAGATGTTGAGCATTTTTTCATATGTCTCCTGGCCATTTCCTGTTTGGAGAAGTGTCTATTCAGGTCCTCTCCCCATTTCTTAATTTGGTTATTTGTCTGCCTTTTGTTGAGCTGTATGGGTACTTTATATACTTTGGATATTAACCCTTTATCTGATATGCCATTGGCAAATATGTTCTCTCAAAGAGTGGGTTCCCTTTTCACTTTGATGCTGATTTCTTTTGCTGTGCAGAAGCTTTTGACTTTGATGTAGTCTCAGTTATTAATTTTTTCCTTTGTTTCTCTTGCCTTAGGTGATATATCAGTGAAAATTCTGATACGTGTGATGCCTACCACCTTTTTAAGAGACATATGTGAAAGGGTTAGAGGCCTTATATTTGAGTAGACAAGGTAAGCATTCAAGTGAATTCTTTAGTGTCATTGTGACAATTGAAGTGAATGATTTGATATAAAAATAACTTTGGTTATTTATTTATTTTTTTATTGATTTTAGAAAAAGAGGAAGGGAGAGAGAGATAGAAACATGATGAGAGAGAACATCGATTGGCCGCCTCCTGCGTGCCCCCCACTGGAGATGGGCCCACAACCTGGGCATGTGCCCTGACTGGGAATTGAACCAGTGACCTCTTGGTGCAGGGTCGACGCTCAGCCACTGAGCCACACTGGCCGGGTTCATTTCCGTTATTTAAAAAGGAGTGAAGTATCAGCTGTGTCAATAGTGTTTGTTTCTCACATTGCTGTGAGCACTTCATGTTCATTATCTGATCAAGCCTCACAACAACCCCATGACAGACACTGTTCTTCCTGCTTCCGTCTAGGGACGGGGCACAGAGACCCGAGGATTTATGCTGCTGGCGTCATGCTTCCGGCAAGATTATGATAGCGTGAGAGTAGTGTTTCTTTATTGCCCCCCTCCCCCGCTAAGCTTATTTGTTTTTGTTTTTTAATCCTCACCTGAGGATATTTTTCCATTTATTTTCAGATAGAGTGGGAAGGTGGGAGGGAGGTAGAGACAGAGAGAGAGAGAGAGAAACATTGATGTGAGATAGACACATTGACTGACTGCCTCCTGCACGACCCAACCAGGGTTGGGACTGAACCACAGCTGAGGTCTGTGCCCTTGACTGGAATCAAACCTGCAACTCTTTGGTCCTCTGGCCGACGCTCTAACCTCTGAGCCAAACCGGCCAGGGCTGTTTTTTATTATTATTTTGCTTTGCAGGACAAGGTTGTCACCTTTTTTAGTTTCCAGAGGTCAGATTTAGATGCCAGAGTAGGTTTTATGTCCTTGGGAAATCCTTAGGTACCTATGTCTTTGTCTTCACATTTTTATTATCTTCATTTTTTCAAAGTTACAGTTTAACAAGTAAAGTAGTTTGTCAGGGCTTGTTCAGGTGAACAGCAATTCTCAGTCTTCACCTTAATTCTCCTTCTTAGAGGTAACCATTCTCAATTCTTAGCTGTTTGACATTTTCAAGTAACGTATTTGAATTGAATTTACTGAGTTTTCAGTTTAGGACATTGTTTGTATGTTTTCTGTGTCCTTATGAACGGAACCTAAGATTTTCCACCAATTGCCCAGATGTCCTGTTTCCTTCCATGTCCTGTGTTCGGTCAGTGTCCTGGGGCTGCAGTGTCCGGTCTGGAGTGGTTTCGGCGGCCGTGCAGTGCTCGCTGTCCGCGTCGGACTCCTCCTCTCCCTCCTCCCTCTGTCCTGGCCTTCCTCTTCTTGGCTTACTCCCACGTTTTGCTGAGAAAAAGAGTGAATGGGAGGCAAGTTATTTGATACCTTGCACTTCTGAAAATGCCTGTATTTTCCTCTCAACCTTGATTAATAGTTAGGCCTGTCCACGTTTAATTCAGATTGGGAATCGTTTTCCTTCAGAATTTTGATGATCTTGTTCCTTTGTCATCTAGCTTAAACTGTGGCTGCTGAAAGTTCAAAATCATTCCGATTCTTCATCTCTTTCTACCTATTTCTCTATGCCTGGAAGCTCGTAGGATATTTTTTTTGGTTTCCACTGGTTTGAAATTTCAAAATGCTGGGCTTTAGTGCCGATGCACCTTTCAAATGCATTACACTGTGCATTCTGGGTTTTCAATAGTAAACGTACATTGTTTAACTGGGACGTTTTCCTTAATGATTTCATTGATTTTTCTCCTCTGTTGTACAGGTATTGGATTATCTTGACTAGACCTCCAGTCTGTTTTAGGTGTGGCCCATCCTTGGTACTTGTTGACTGTGGTTCACTGTAGGATGGTGATCTGACTGCCACTATCAGGGAGTCTTGATATCTGCTCCCCATTTCTTTTTCTTTTTCCAAAAAGAGACGTCTTAGTTCCCTGCCTGGTGTGTGAAAGCTGGTCTCCGGGAGCTAAGTGAGGGAAGTGTGTATGTGTTTCCCTAACCTTCCTGGCTCCATCCAGCCTTCTCCCCAGTGTGTGTGTCCTTCTGCTCGGAGCCTGCTCCAGAGAGGAATCCTGCAGAGTTCTGCTTCGTGACAGACACGTAGCCAACCGCATGGAATGGGAGACACTGAAGGCTAAGCCCCTTCTTAGTGAGCTCTAGCGGCCCTCACTCTGTTTCTGGAGGTGCGGCCTGTTGAGTCCTGAGTGGCTGAGGCTCTGTGACTGGCAGGTTGGTCTGGCTCTCCAGCGGTGGGTTTGGACTCGGCTTGTGTGGATCCTCTGAGTCCCGTCTGCTCTCCAGCCTCCAGGTTCTGCTCATGCCTTGAAAATGCCTTCTTGGCATTTTCGCAGTTTTGAGAAGGAATGAGATTAAATGTGCATGTTTATTCTTTGATTTTTACTTAGAATCTAGTTCTAGACTTTTTGTGTTTAAGCTTTTGTCTATTCATTTTTTTTTTCATCGTGATGAAATACATATAAAATGTATTAACCATTTTAAAGTATTATTAACCACTTCAGTATCATGAAGTACATTAGCAGTGTTGCACAGCCATCACCACTATCTCGTTCCAGAACTGTATCATCTCTGCCAAAAATGAAGCCCATACCCACTGCGGGGCCGTCTCCCCTCCTTTCCCCAGCCCTGGCAACCACGGCGTCTCTGTCTGTGCGCCTGCCTGTTCTGGCTGTTGTACCTAAATGGATCAGACATGTGGCCTGAGTCACATATTTTCATGTAGCATAATGTCTTTGGAGTTCATCTGTGGTGCAGCACAAATCAGTACTTTCTTTCTTGACGACTAGTTTCCATTGTGTGGATAATACCACATTTTGTTTGTTCAGGCATCAGTCGGTGGACTTTGGTTATTTCCACTTGTCAGCTATTGTGAATAGTGCTACTGTGAACATTTGTGTACAAATTTATATTTGAACACTTGTTTCAATTCTTTTTAAAAATATTTTTTTGTAAGAGTTTGAGTCAAAGTGATGACATATGCCAGGGACCAGATCTCAAACGCTCCAGAGAATCTTGTTTTCATCAGTTCATTAGGGGTATAGACCTAGGAGTGAAATTGCTGTGATAATTCTGTGTTTAACTTATTTAGGAACTATTAAACTGTTTTTCACAGCAACTCCTTTAAAAATGTATTATTATTGCCATTTTCATTCACGTTTCCCTAATAACTAATGACATTGAGCATCTTTTCATGTTCTTTTTGTCCATTTGAATCTCTTTTTTGGAGAAATGTCAAAAGCATTGGCCATTTTTAAATTGGGTTGTTTGTTGAGTTGTAAGAGTTCTTTATATATATCAGATAATCTTCAGATATATTTTGCACATGGTTTTTTTCCTCTAGGTACTTTTCCCCCCTTGAACACCCGCATATTCTCTAGTTGTGATGTAATGTTGACAGAAATGGTGTCTTCTGTGTTTACTATTCTGGTTACCTGGAAGGATTGTATTTTAGGTTCTCTTAAAAAAAGGAGACTTTCTATTTTTATTTTATTTTTTTCCAAATACAAGCAAAAGTTTATTTAGAAAGGACAGGATTCGAAGAAGTGAGCCGTGGAGGAGGGACCCAGCTGGGCTGTGGGCTCAGGAAACAAGCTATAGAGGCAGTGGAAGGGCCCTTGGAAACTAGGAGGAGAGCAAGGCGTGGACTGGGCAGAGGAGAGGGCCACCGCCTGGGTGCTCCAGCCAGTGCTGAGCTGGGAAGGAGGGGCGGGCAGGCCTCCGTCCTGGGGCAGGGCCCGGGGGAGGGTCTCAGTAGACGCTGCCTCAGCTGTCCAGGTGCGTCCTTTCAGGGCCACAGTCCCCCTGACGTCCGCAGCGCGGCAGCGGGTGTCAGTCATCACAGCTGCTCCTGATGTCGGCCGTGGCCTCGCCGGCCTGGCCTTGCTGCTTCTCTGGCCTGGAGCTGAAACACTCTGTGACAGCGCGGAGGGACCTGGAGAGCATCACTGCGTGAAGTAAGCCGCACACGATCTCACTCACACGTGGAATGCGATGCACAAAATAAACCTGCGCGCAGAATGGAACCAGAGGCGCGGGTACAGAACACACAGAAAGGCTTCAGATGGTGTGATCAGGGAATGCGTCTTTTTGTTTTTTGGTTAATCCTCACCTGAGGATATTTTTCCATTGATTTTTAGATACAGTGGAAGGAAGGAAGGATGGAGAGAGAGAAAAACAATGTGAGAGAGACACACCAATCGGTTGCCTCCTGCATGACCCGACCAGGCTGGGGATCAGACCTGTGGGCCAACGCTCTAACTGCTGAGCCCGTCCGAGCAGGGCAGGGAATGCATCTTTGAAGAGGCGATGTTTGAGCAGAGCCCTCATGTCCTTGGGGACTGAAGAAAGTCTTGGGAAAGAGCCTGGCCTGAGTGGCTCAGCTGGTGAGCATTGTCCTGTTTCACGAAAGGTCGCCGGTTCAGTTCCTGGTCAGGACACGTACCTGGGTTGCAGGGTTGATCCCCTTTGTTTTTACCTGATGTCCTTGTCCTGTTTCAGGACCCCACCCAGGGCTCCACGTTACATTTAGTTAGCTGTCATGTCTCCTTAAGCTCTTCTTGGCTGTGAGGTTCTCATCCTCCCCTTGGCTTTGAGCAGCATTATTCGGGCAGTTTATGAATGTCTCTCTGTTGGTGTTCATCTCATGGTTCCTCATGCTTAGACGGGTTCTGTGTTTCTCAGAGGAAGACCAGAGAGGTTAAGTGCCATTTTCAGTGCATTATATTAAGGGTAGATTGTCAACATGAGCTAGCAGTGTTGACGCTGACCCTGATCACCTGATCAGGGTGGTGTCTGCCAAGATTCCCGACTGGGCAGCTGCTCCTCCGTTCTCCAGCTTCTGTGCCGTGCTCTTCGGAAGGCAGCCTCCGTGCAGCTCGCACCCAGGGTGGCGGCTCTGCTCCCTCCCTGCCGACGGAGCAGCTCTGTGAACGTCTGGAATTCTGTGCAGGATTCTGTGTCTCTT